CCGTTTACACCAACGAATAGCAGTATGGCAAACATTTAAGGAAGATATTTCGGGGGGGTTTGAACCCCATGAACCCCCCCCCCTAAATACGGCCTTGCGTGCCCAAGGGGGGGGGGGGGGGTTGGGGGTCATAACCCCGCCCTTGGGGTCAATTTTACACGTTCGATTCTCATAAATTTTTTTATTTTGCCACAAATACAGGGTGGGTTATCAGTTTTTTTAAATGTTGACCTCCCCTCATTAGGGTGAGCAATCAGTGTTTCATATGGCGCCCCCCCCCCCCCCCCAATTCGGATTTCCTGGGCACGCCACTGATAGCAGGCACCCCTAAAAGCTTGTTCCAAATCACGCTGAAGTTGGAAAAATCCTTAAAGGTTTAAAAGAAACTGGCAGTATATTTGATAGGTGTAGGTCTGGACAACCTCGATCAAATTTTTTTTTCTCTGGGGGACACCTCAAACCGGTTGTATACGAATCTCGGCGCCAGATTGTTGAAGATTTGAAGAACAGAATTACAGCAGAGTGTCAAGAAATTACGAGAGACATCCTCACTCGTGTTTCTGACCACGTGAGAGCCAACATTTTAACATGTAAACGTTTACATGGAAAACAGCTTAAGCGATTTAAAACGATGGTAACGGACTTTTGACTCACCCTGTATGTCTGTGCGAATTCATGTGCCCAGAGTCTTTTTTTATTATCTCCATTTAAACCCTGAAAGGTTCTTTATGCACCACCCTGTAAACCTGATGAGGCAAAAAAATCGTGCCGCTCTTTGAGATTCCTTGGAGTTCATGAGACAGCAGATAGCTCAGCAAAACTTTTTTTGCAACGACTTTTATGTATCCTCTAAAAGGCAAAACTTTTTTGTTCATTTTTCTCCAGCCGTTTCTTCGCACGAATGATAACGCGAAGGCAACTCAAATTTTATTTTTGCGCAAGGTAAATGTATCGGCGGAAGAGTGGTTGGAACGCATGGAGTGCACCAACCTCGGGTCAGAGCTCCTTCGTCTGCCCATGAGAATGCTGCTTTTTGCGAAAGGGAGCGACGCCATGGATGACATCAGATCCTTCTTCCTTTCCTCTTTCCTCTGAAGCCCTTTTGCTATTGGGCCATTTCTTACCGTATAACCGCGAAAACATGCCGAGATGAAATCTCTGAGGACGATTTCAACAAGTTGCTCTAGCGTTTGATCGATGTAGGTTAATTGGGATGCGTAGCACGCATCAAAATCATGCATGGATCAGGCTGATGCATGAATCTCAATTCGCCTGCGTCGATCGAGCACTCGAGCGAGGCCCTTTGTCCCCATTTACAGTGGAGTGCTTAGCAAGTATACCCTGTGAATGTTAATCCTACCCCCATTAAACTCTAATCAACTTCATGGCACACTGCTACAAGTTTGCCTACCGAACTTAATCAAGATAGGTCAACTCCTTCGGGATTGTGCTTTTTTTCACGGTGAGTGCATTGCAGTGCAATATTAAAGATCTGAGAATTCATTTCTTGAGATGAGTCGAGGAACGCCCTTGCATAAGCCAGTGGGTGGTAGTTACTCCTAAAGAATGGTTTCGCTGTTGGAATTCTTAATCCAGCGGGGCGTTGGAAGAAGAAGGTTATGAGTGAATAAATTGAAAAGGTAGAAGTGGGAAAAAAGGTTAAAGTTCATTTGTATATGTGGTATTTTTTAGAAAATCCGGGAACTCCTTAGCCTCCCCTCGTCAAATGAGAATTCACGCACTTAACCTTCTCCGAAGGGAGGAGGGGATCGAAATGGCCGGACACGGGAAGACACTCCCGTTGATGTCCAGCCCAGCCACTTTTGCCATACATTATTCTCTCCAGGCTTTTCGCTCACCTTTTGACTTTCATTTCATTTTTTGAAACGAAACTCTTATTTGCACATACTTGGTTAGGAATACCAGGTATGTCTATGTTGAAATGTTCGGTAGTTTCAGAAGTTAGTTCCCAGATAACAGTTTTCGTAGGGCCCACGTTGGCCCGACATAGTCCTCTAACGTCAGAACGTTAGGATACGTTGGCCCAACGTAGGTTGTTCACGCAGGCACCACGTGAAAGTGACCGTTGGGCGAACGTGGGGCTAACGTTGGCAGTAAGTTGGATAGCAACGTATAACCCACTTACCCAAGTAGCTGGTTTTTGCTCTATCCCACACAGCACAAGGATATCCCAGGGATGTCCCTAACTGGACGACTTGTCCGCATGTCTTTATAGGATATCCTGAAGACATCTCCTTTCGGACGGTTTCGGACATCTCGCAAGGGATGTCTTCGGGACGTCTTTTAGACATCTTCAGTCGATATCTTTATGACATCCTTAGTCGAATGCTTCTGGATATCCTGGAGGGGATATCTTGAAGATATCTTCAGTCGAACGCTTTTCGATATCTTGAGGAAGATGTCTTAGGGACATCTTAGGGATGTCTTTAGGCATCTTCAGTGCTCTCTGTCGCCTTCAGTCAGGTGCATAGCTTCGACGGTAGATGTCTCCCGTGAGCCCTGATCTGCAACCTCAGATCTTTTCTACCGAATTCATCTACTTGATTTGTCCTGAGGAAAAGTAAGGATTTTCGTACCATACATAAGGAAAACTGCCACCAGGGAAAGTGAAAAAATTGCGGTCCGAACTTTAATTTATCCCTTTATATTCTCATTAATGATGTCTGATCGGCATGTCTGGATACAACTATATTGGTTGGAGGCCTGAGCCCAGAGTGTTTGAAAGGCATAAGACTGCATCATATCATCCATGGTCTCTTCTGTAAAAGTGCTAATTGTCGTCCCTTGGAGATGTGTCTCCTATGATGGGGTCCCCTTTAAGAAACGGTATTTTCCTCCCCCTTAATCGTCACTCTTCAATCGATCAAGAACTTTAGATTAGGTGTTCCTAAGTAAAATATTGATATCTACGAAAGCAAAGGGTTCTCCTGTGCGATAGGAAATGAGTCCATTGCGGATAGGAAGGCCCCTACAAGTACTACCTGGGACTTCTCACTTGTCCCAATGGGATATCTCTGGGACATCCTTCGGATATACTTGTGCTACAAGAAAGAGACATCCTTGGGATGTCTTTACCTCCTGACATTGTGATATCCCTGAGATGTCCCCACAAGTAATGTCTAGGACTTGCCCCAAGGGGATATCCCTGGGACATCTCTGGGATGTGCTATTTCTTCAAGAAAGGGACATCCTTGGGATGTCATTGGGCCCAGACATTTTGATATCCCTAAGATGTCCCTACTCCTTGTCTCTGGGACATCGCACTTGTCCCAAGGGGATATCTCTGGGATATCTTTGGGATATCCCTGTGCTGTGTGGGATATCATCATTTCGTACCATTTACTTAGATTCCCTATCCAGTGGAGGTATTCCCATCTGTAGTACGGAACCTATACTATGTACTGCAACCTACCAAGGACATGTATATGTAACCTGATAGGCAAGAGACATAGGACAGTTCAGACATGGATCTTCCCCTGACCGTACATGTCAGAGGATGGACCGCCTCGTACGGTTCCATGAAGTATCCGCAATCAGTCAGTCCTTCATTTCCTCCTTCGTGCAATGAAGATGAGGAAATGGCGGAATTGGATTCAACGGATGCTCCCTCTATATAGTAGATCTCCATTTTGGATGAAGGAATTTTCAGAAGGATTCTGATCGCGAATATGAGTTTGTTTATGGCCTGAGCTCCATGAATCTGTCTTGAATAAGTGGATAACAAATGTGGAAATGTCCGTGCTTATTGATTCCTATAATGAGCCTAGGCGAGACATATGGTGAGGTACTAAACAATCCTGCGAAGGACGATTCCAGGGAAAGAGGGAAGGGAACCTTTGCGTGCTGTGCGAAAAGCAAGATCCATACCTCTATCTGGCCTGGCGAAGAACTTGAAGATTTTGAAGTTCTCCACCAGGAGTGCTGCAGTTCTTTTCAGCATGTGGATATGCCTACGTTGGGCCCACATGGGACCAACATCGTTCCCCAACATTCACATTCTGCCAACTTTTCCCACCTTTATCCAATGTGGGCCCAACGTAACGTGTTATCTGGGTTGATTTGTGGAACAGAAAACCCCACCAAAATATGTACAGTATTTAAACCAATGGCTCTGGTTAGACCGATGGAGGCACTTAAAACTCTTATATGCCTAGTTACTGTACACCTACTAATTCTCAATTTAATAGCTGAACTCCTGGTTTCAGATAAATTTGAATTCACCTATTCGATTTTTGCAGTCACCCATTATCCGACGGGTGAAGCCAATCCTTCCACTCGTTCAAAAGCGATGCGGGAAGAAAGAGATACAGTAATAGAGTAACAGAGTGAGAAAACAACCTTCCAAGAATGCATGAGAAAGGGCTTTCGAAAAAATTGTATCCCTCCCTTGACCACATGGTCACATGAGTCAGAAAGAGTCGGAAAAGACGAATCAGAAAAGAATTCCTGGCCACGTCCTTGTCCCTCGGACCTGCGTTTGAGGGAGGAGGGGAGAATGAATCACTCAGCAGTGTCAATATTGATGTCCCCGATCAATTTCTAAATTGAATAAAAAGCCTTATACGAAACATTGATTCATCATACTCATGTTACAAGGGTATGAAGGCGTGAAGTCCTTAATATCCAGAAGTACTGAATGGATTCGTAAGAAATTCGAAATTGGAGATTTTGATCGAATGAATTGTGCCAAGTACGGAGCGAGTTCCATAGCTCCATCGGAAGTTCTAAAATATGAATACATCATTGAGTGTGGAACGAGCCGAAGCCAAAAACAGGGCTTGAACAGATGCCACGACGAAAGTGCCATTTCCGCCCCTTATGCGAGGTTACGCTCCCTTTAAATGGCGGCGCGCTTGGATCCACACAGCCGCAAAAATCAATCTTTCGTTGTTTGTTGCTTCAGTGTTGCACCTACTTGTTACTTATGCTGACTCATGTAGTGTCACGTATTAAAAGGCATAGTATGTAAGACAATACGAATGAAGGTATCGCTTCAATTGTTTTGCTGGAGACTTGCTTGATACGCGTGCTACCGGCTTTAGGCGAAGCCTAACCCATGATTGGCGTACAGCCATTCTGTATTGACTTCTATCATCCGTTTATTTGAGCTTCTTACTTTACTATGTGCTCTACAGTCAAGATGTGAAGTACCAGTTCTTTCACAAGGGAAAGTATGTCGCTCTATGGGCTTTATTCTTCGATGTGCCCTTCGCAACTAATGAAGATTGCTGTTATTAAGAGCCTCAGCAGCGCCTCTGGCAACATAGTCAGGGAAGGGTGGTGGGTGGGTAAGGTCAAATCGGGATCACTGTTTAACCATATAACTTGCTTCTCTAAAACTAGGCCTATCCTATAGGGTTTGACTTTTTTTTGGACATGCATTCTGTTCTTTTACTTCATGGGCCTTGGGAGGCTGGTAACAGTTATGCACATATCCCCTGGAGAAATTTCACTCCCTCAGTCTCCAATGTTTCTAGATGAAGTCCACTGAAAATATGCCACATTCATTGGGACTCCTGTTCTTTATAATATACACCAACCTTACCTAACCTAGCCTAACATTAGGGGCAAGACAATATCCATTGGGGTTATGCACTTAACAATGACCAGGAAGGTCTACTGTAGCTATTGTATGTTTGCAATACCATACTGTTATTGTTAGCTCCCTAGGCATGTATGCTGGTAAAGTCATGATGTTATATAATGAACACTCATATGCATTCTATTGTATTGTTATTCTCCCAAAGTTATTTTTGTCTATAAATGCCATCCTAACATGCAATGAGCCATATTAGTTCAGATTAACCGTTCATTGTTATATGTGAATGTAAGAGTATTGGATAAGCATTGGCTCTTTCTTCCAGGCTGATTCCAGCATCCAATCATTATTTGGCTATTGTACGTCTTGTGAACACCATGTACACCCTGTGTACACCCATCCTTTAAGCCCAGTCTTTGCCTTGTGACTATAGCCATGTACTAACTAAGTATAAAGCATGGGTGGAGGAGGCCTAGAATATATATTTTCCAGCCTTGATTAAGCCATCTTATCCATAATAGTCAGGGAAGGGTGGTGGGTGGGTAAGGTCAAATCGGGATCACTGTTTAACCATATAACTTGCTTCTCTAAAACTAGGCCTATCCTATAGGGTTTGACTTTTTTTTGGACATGCATTCTGTTCTTTTACTTCATGGGCCTTGGGAGGCTGGTAACAGTTATGCACATATCCCCTGGAGAAATTTCACTCCCTCAGTCTCCAATGTTTCTAGATGAAGTCCACTGAAAATCCACACTCCACAATGAAGTCCACACTCATATGCATTGATGCCTTGTTATTCTCCCAAAGTTATTTTTGTCTATAAATGCCATCCTAACATGCAATGAGCCATATTAGTTCAGATTAACCATTCATTGTTATATGTGAATGTAAGAGTATTGGATAAGCATTGGCTCTTTCTTCCAGGCTGATTCCAGCATCCAATCATTATTTGGCTATTGTACGTCTTGTGAACACCATGTACACCCATCCTTTAAGCCCAGTCTTTGCCTTGTGACTATAGCCATGTACTAACTAAGTATAAAGCATGGGTGGAGGAGGCCTAGAATATATATTTTCCAGCCTTGATTAAGCCATCTTATCCATATGTACACCCATCCTTTAAGCCCAGTCTTTGCCTTGTGACTATAGCCATGTACTAAGATTCATATTTCGTACCCACCTCCTCCGGATCTTATATATAAAAGGTCGGAACTAATTCGGTAGAATAGGTAAAAGATAATTTACGCGGTATAACTTCGCGGAGGGGTCGCGAGAGAATGCCAAAGGATGCGAGGCTATCTGCCGGGAATTTTTATTTCTACTGGAGCTGAACACTGACTTCTAATTCTCATATACAGTCTAACTCGTTAATTCGGACTCGAGGGGACTGGTGATTTTTCCGGATTATCGAGTCCCTGCCCGAGTGACCATTCATTTTTCTTATTTTTTTTGCAAGAAGAAAACCGCACAAAATGAAGGCGCCTCATTACTCGGTTCCAGGAAATTGGGGAGATCAAACGTTTATTTATTTATTCATTCATTTTAAATCCAAGGATGAGGGAAAGTAGAGAAAAGGGGAAAAGACGGAAATCTTTTATTTTCTATTGTATTATATGTATTTTGCTGGAAAGTCCGGATTAACGGAAGATCCGGATTACTGGCGTTCGGATTAACGAGAGTTGACTGTATTGCACATATAGCAATAGTAGTAACACACGGCAGCGGTACCCTCAGTGACATCACCACTACAACCACTATCAATGTATCATCCATTCCATTGACTGACATTGCATATAAAAATTATCGCATGCATTTCGGCATACGTCATTTACGTCGCACAACGACCCTGTAGTAGGGTAATGGGCAGGAATGGGAAGGTGTTCACGTCGGGTGTACAGGGGTACACAAGATAGGTGTTCACAGGCCTATGAGAGATGGTCACATAGCCCTGTATAAGGTATACACATAGGCTTATAGTAGGTGTTCACATAACGAACTCGGGGTGTACATGGTGTTCACAAGACGTACAATAGCCAACAGAAATTTCTTTGCATGCATTTATGACCTACAACCTATAAATGGGAGAGCAAGAATCAAGTGTGAATCAATGGGAGAGCATGACATAGATATGAAATACCTTCCTGAAATTTCCTCCAACCACAGAAATTTTAAGCCACTTCCTTTTAATTTACCAATTTGTATTTTTTTCAGAGTGTTAGATGTGTTTTATTGTGCTGCTTTTCTTATAATCTCATCAAGAGAAAAGTGATCATTTTTGGGCCCTCATTGGAATTCCTGGAGTTTCTGTATTGATACTGAATTTGGCCTATCTGGGTACAACTATTCAGGTTGGTCAGCATAAACCTGCAAAAGTCAAGAATCTTGATTGAAAACAACTTTATCAGAGTGCTTAGTATTTGAGCAATTGAGATTGGGTGAACTTTTTGGAGAAACTAAATAAGTCCAAATTGTGTATTGTACTGTATAAATATATAATTTTGTAGTCCTTTCAGTTAATGAGTGTCAGACCTAGACCATTCAGTGTCATTTGGCCCTCCTCTGGAACTCAACTGATAGTTCTCACACTTGATTATGGACTCATTAAGTTATTCTGTGGATTCCAACAAATAATCAAAGTATTATCCACATTTTGGATTCTGGACTATATCATAAATGGTACTCTACTCAATGGATGTACCTCCTCTTTGTGCAGTGATCTTTAGTATTCTTTTTTTTATTTATTAAAGTATTACCATTCATACCTGGTGTTAATTTTATATTTTTCCTTGTATCATGATTCCTCCTACCTGTCAGTTGGGGTTTGAGGACAATAGAGGACTAAGAGTACTGATTGGTTGTACTAAGCTGCTACTACAGCATTGAGTTGCTGAGGACTCACCCCAAGAATTTTCCTTGTTTGTTGCTGTTACTCTTGTGGCATATCTAAAAGCTACCATGGGGGACAGGGTGAGTGATGCTTGGCATAAAATATTTGTGTTTGAAACTGCTTGAGAAAGATTAAATATATAAATATTTGTATTATACAAGGTAACCCAAAAAAAGTACCCAACTTTACAAGTCTACAGATGGAATATCATGGGAGACATTATCAGGAGATTTACATGGTGTTTCAACCAATATGAGTAGGTCATTTGTTTGCAAAAATATTGCCAAAATTGAATGTTCAGAATCTGAGTTAAAGTTTTTTTCCTCACACAATGACAAATAGCAAGTATGGCAATGCACACATCCTGGTGGCATACTTCATGCATGGTGAAACTTGCCATACCAAAGTTCAACTAAGCAGGCAGGTGCAGACACTCATTTCCCATAATGCAAGGAAGAAGTCCTCAAAAATTTGTTTAACCATCTTCACATGTTGAATATAACACCAAGTGACCCAAAAAGTTCCCCACTCAAACCAGTTGCAGACAGAACCCTATCCAACACTTCTGCAAGAAATTTACGTAATGTCTAAGGTGATATTCTGAAATTTTATAAGAAATTCATTATTAAGAAGCCTCTAAACAGTTCTTTTTGCATGACAAATAAGCAAGTGCCTGCTTGCATCTGACTGCTCAATTGAACTTTAGTAGGACTAGTCCCAGTGACATGTTAAACAGGGGGTGGGAGGTTGCCCCCCTCACTCCCTTGGATGTTATATTTTTCTTCTTTGATATTACTCTGGTGGGGTTTGGTGCCCCCACTCTGTGCCCTGCCTCACCTGACTTTTCAGCCAAAATATGCCACTGACTAGCCCCATCATGTTTGGAGGACACAACCAAGGTTTGTACTCTGAACACACTAACTCATATGACATTGTGCTGGGAAAAGGCTATATCTTAGATTCTGAATAACCAATTTCACTGAGATTTTGAAGAATCACCTCCTCATTTTGGGTGTAACACCATGTAAATTTCCATTCCATCAGGTTTGTAAAGTTGGGAACTTCTTTTTCTGGGCCACCCAGTATAGCCAGTTCAAAATCAAAACTCTCAGTTATGGAATCCCCCAAATTCTTTTATTGAGGCTTGTCATTGGATATGTAACTGAACTTGCCACCCAGGTGTTAGTAGGGAGAGCGCCATATGGCTGGATTTTATATGTGGTGCATTGTTGTTTACAAAGATCTTATTTTCATGCAAACATGCAAAGATAATTTATAAAAGTATAATTTATATTATATATTTATAATAATATAAATGTAATAGAGGATTCTTAGTATGACTGTAAAGTCATACTAAGAGTGGGTAAGGACTGAACAGGAGCTTAATTCTGGAATTTTTTTGCCCCAGCCTCATCCGTCTGGCTTACTGGCATCCTTTATTAGTAGGTATATGAGAATTTTGATCAGGAATATATATGTAGGCCACAGCCCTACAAGTGCCACCTGGGCACCCAGGAAAATAGCAGATCATAGTCACAGCCAATATGGAATCATCAGGGGATAGACCCTCTGTATAGGACAGCACTCTTCATTTTCTGTTCAAGAGTCACTGCTGTACTCCTGCAAACTGATTAAACCATTTCATGCTCCACAGTGATGACCCAGCCACCAATTCCATTGGTTGGGCTCAACTTATCTTTCCCCATATGGGAATGCAGTGACAGTTGAAGTACATTTAGGGAGACCTTTAGCAGGAGAGGGGAAGACGTTAGAAGGACAGGTACTATCTAATGATGTGCTGCACATGCAAGCTCATTGAATACAAGAGCACAAGGTAGAGCACTAGGGAATGCCGAAGTTAGTAGCATGTTCTTTTTCCTCACAATGCAGTTAATCCTTTACACACAGGGAACCCTGGTTACACCCATCCCATACCCCTTTCCCACCAACACAAAACTAATTTGTGGTTTCACTTCTTACATGATGTGTGTATATGTCACAGTTGGAGTATTTGGGACATATCTACTCTGCATTCACAGTGTGTGCATATTGCAGGAGAACTATACACTCCTACTATTGTTGCATGTACAAGGCTATCAGATGAAAATTTAAAATTTTAGTTTAGCTCATGAAATAATTAGCCTTTTGTATATTGTTTTATTTTCTAAGCATTTATAAGCTTATAAAACTGAGTAGGTTTTAAATTAAAAGTGGATAGGCTCATTTGCCATGTCATTGCAACCCTCAGCATGTTTGGCATAGGCCTACCAATGTTAATTTGATGAAAGTGGAACCTTTTGGCTGAGATTTCTGATGCATGCCATGCATATCAAACAGATGTTGCTGTATGTGTCACAAACTGAGTGTGTTGGGCATTCATCTGCCTCTGAAACTTCACCTAGTGTAGCACTCTCCTTTGAAGCAAAAATTATTTACAAAAATTTAACAGTATGGAGTATTTTCTACTACCAAGACTGCCTCCAATTTGATGAAGTTTTGATGTTTTAATCTCAAACCCAGTTGCACTTCATTGTTCTCTTTGTCTCAGATGGGGAACAAAAAAGATAAAGAGCCAGGCTCGGAACCTTCTTCTGCAGAAGAGAGTACAGAAGAATTTATTGTGGAAAAGATAATTGACAAGAGGCTCAAAAGTGGGAAGGTGGAGTATCTCCTCAAATGGCGAGGGTATCCAGAGTAAGTTTTGTGATTGTGTATCCATTCTTTGGCCTATCATCCACTGCCGATGAAACACGATAATGGCACGTCAGCTGGAGTTGTCAAAACGATCCTAGGGGAAGCTTGAATTTGGATGACCTCATGACTCCAAGAATGCTTTATATTAGAGATGTCGATCGATAAAAAAAAATGTAACAGATTCCATAGTTCCTCCTTGAATCATGTCCTAGGCATTGGGAATGATTCTGCTTGTGTCATGTCAAACACCTGGGCGAACCTCAGGAAGTGGGTAATTGTATAGTACGTGTCCACTTAAGGAATACAGTCAACTTAGCCAATTTAGTCATGATCATCTCGCAGGGGCGTACGCAGGACAAGAACCACGAGGTGGTTGCAATGAGGTTGACGAGCCGGAGGGGACGTTGTCAGGGGCTAGGCCTGGCAAAGCCCTGAGCCCCCCCTCCCTGCGTACCATCGCACAGTGGTTCAGAATTTGTGAAAACCTGGCCAAAAGTCGAAAAACGAAGTTTTAATAATTGTGAAAAAATCTTATTTTAAATCGCAGTGCGATGATCCATCCCGGACTTAAAAAACCTTGTTCAGTGCTTTTGATGGTTTTGAGTTCTTTTTTTTTGACGCAGTACAGTATATGTGGGCTTAAGTGGACGGTCTTAACCATGTGGACACGTACTATACCGATGGCAGGGACGTACGCAAGGGGGGGGCTTGGCCCCTGAAAGAGCCCTCCCCCTCCTCATGCGTACGCCACTGAAAGATGGTCATGCCCAAATTGACTAGGTTGACTGTATTCCTTAAGTGGGCACGCACTGTACTATTATCCAGTGACACTTCATTACGCGGAGATTTAAAGATTCATTATCGATTCACGGGCAACGCAGATAGAAGAGAAGAAAAAGCAAGGAATAGGAGAAGATTTCACACTTCGTTTCCTCTTTTCTAGCCTGCTCCCAGCCTTCTCCCTCCCAGTTACTTCCCGGGGGATCCCACAGACCTTCGTTGACTTATTTAAACATACGCCTCGCACTCCCCAGTCTTTACATTATCCACTTTCCTGCCTCTCCTGTCCCACGTCCTTGTCTAAATCCTCTATTTCTTCTGCGCGTTTCCTTGCAGCTCCTTCATTACGGCTTTCTTTTCCTCATCCAGAGACTTTTCGGTCGCTTTGCCATAGGCAGGACCGGCCCCTGCTATTTCTGCACCCTGTGCAAAGAGATTCCTAACCCCCCCCACTTTCCCTACCCCCTAGAAAGGAGAAGGGTCAACCCCTAGCGTCCAAAATGACGCCGAAATGGAAGGAATTTCCACTTTCTGAAGTAAAACTGAAGGTGGCATCCATTATTGCTTCATACATTTAGTCACGTTTTGGCGCCCCTGGTGAATGTGCGCCCTATTCGGGAGCACATGTGGCATATGCCTAAGGCCGGCCCTGGCCCTGGCCATAGGCCTCTGCTACCTTAAACTGTCGCATGAGGCCTTTCTAGGCCGTAGGCTGGGCGGATGCGTATCAGTACGCTTGTGGATGCGAATGGGTCAGGAAGCTAATTTTTTTGGAGTAGTCTGAAAGCGACAGCTTTGATTTTGTGTTCCCTTTCCAAAAATAGAAAGTAATTTTTTAATTAAATAAAAAAGTAATTTTTAAGGAAGAGTGAGCAGTGCGAAAACGACAATCATATTTAATTCCCTTGATGAAGCAGTCATTTTTGGTTGCTTTGCAAAACTATGAAATACACAGTCAAATTATAAGGAGAAAAAGAGGCATTCAGGGGAAAATAGGGGTTCGATTAAAACTCGATTAATGTCGACAATTTTTTTAAATCGCGATCAATACTTTAATCGTCTAATAAAATTGACAGCCCTACTTTATATGGAAAATAGTGGAACATCAGCCTGATATGAGCCAAATTCTTTATTTTTAGATATTTTGTTCAAAACTACGAAAGCCCAGGTGATGCGGCTGTCGATCTTGTTTTCGTATCTTCCATATCTCGAGGCACCTCTTCACTTGCTCCAGTTGGGTCCCCCTTACATGCGAACTGAAAAATATGTATATCAAGAGAATTATAACCTGCGTTTTGGGAGCGCGGGATTTCAATCTGGCTGCAGTACATTCCGTGTTGAACCGGTTTAACACGGCCCGAAGCACCTGTCGATGCTGGGACAAAAGGACGGCATCATCCGCCAAGAGAAATATCTTTATCTCATTGTAGTCATCCCCCGACTAACGTCGTCTCGAATGACGTCGTTCCGCACTTACGTCGTTTGCCCCCAGACCCAATATATTAAGCCAAGCGCACAATTCGCACCTACGTTGTATTACGTTGCCCTTACGTCGTCCATGAATTGGTATCTCAACTGCGAGTAGTCGGCAACACCGTACTGTCTCGACTAACGTCGCCGGTCTCGGAACCAGTTACGACGTAACTTCGGGGGATGACTACTACTGAAGTTGATCCCATCGATGTCCTGGCAGCCCCTTCTGATCCTACCCATATACCCAAGGAACAGGAAAGGAGAGCGAATGCAACGCTGACGGAGTCCAACTGGGAGCTTGGGAAAGAATCCTTCGCTCATCTCGTTCACTCGAACGCAGCTCCTACAGTCATTGTATAATAATTGCATGACCCTCAGTAGCTGACCATCAATGCCGTACCCCGGCAGTACTCCCCGCAACCTCCCTCGTTTCACGAGGATCTGTAGAACGTGTAGGTAGGCTACCTACGAGGATGTGTAGGTAGAACTGGCCCGTGATGCCGCGCCCTTCGCGAAATCCGCAGTTACTCTTGGATGGCTTCTAAACGTCTATTCGAACTCTTTTTTAGCACCTTGGTGTAGACCTTCCCAGGTATGCTGAGGAGAGTGATTTCACGGTGTTTGCCTCGTTTCACTGCTGTGGCTGAAACGCCCAATCGAAAGCGATACCATTCGGTCTTGACGTAAGAAATTCTGAGAGGCAGTTGAGAATAATTTTCATTGATTGTCTTCGCCAACCCGTCGCGTGTTTTCTCATCGCGAAAGGTGACATGCCTTACAACGCACGGGTCCTTCCGCCTCGTACTGAAGTCGCACGCTTTTCGAGTTCGCAAACCACTAGATGTTGTGCTTTGTTCAGTTCATCTTTATCCTCGTATCCGTTACCAGGTTCCACAAGTCAACGGCGACGTTTCAGTGATGGTCCGACAGACACCCTGTGCCAGATGTACCGTTGGTAATGATGTTGCCAACACAGAAGTCAAGTAATTTTCTACCTTTCTCATTCAGTGCAGCTTCTCTGAATTGGCCTATCGCCCCACTCCAACTTCCCATCTCGCGCATTGAAGTCTCCCCATCAGCAAGGCGAGATGTCCATTCAGGATCCCTTCTGGGGCTTCACCTACCTCTTCGAGGTCGTACAAGAATTCGTTGTTTGGTCCGTAGACCTGAACGGCAGACCAGAATCCGATTTGCTCGCCGATAGGTTTTCAATCTATCACGCTGTTAGCCAGCCGGATGCCAGGGAGTATCCCGAGTGTCCTGGGCAAACATAATATAGCTACGGCTACTCTACTCTAGTATGGGGCCCACTCGTGATTTGGAGCAGGGATCCTCAAACATTTTTGGCCTAAAGCCGTTTTCGTGGAAAATCAACTGACCGCGACCCCAAGTTCCAAAAAATTACGAACTGCGCAATAAAATGCAGCCTCAGGTATACCAAATTTACGCTGGAAGTCTTATTTCTGTGGCATTTATTTTATTTCATTACTTTCACTGTAATATTACAGACAGAAAGACTTTTCTTCCCTATTCTTGGATAGAAAAGACTGGTGATGTTACAAAGGGAAAAAGGAATATCTGAAGATGCCATAGAAGAAGAATTTCCAATTTAAAGCTGAAAATTTTCAGGGCTTCGTTTTTTTTTTAGTGTAGAAAACTTGACACTTGTACACAAAGAATTGTAATTGGAAAAATAATTTAGCTTTATTTAAATTTACTTTTTCAAGGAAAGCATAGAAAAGCTGTCACACAATAGGGCATGTTATTCAATGAAATGGATATCTCACAGAACCTTTTTTCTGTATTCCCTTAAAAAGCATGTTTGGATTTGAAAATTTCTTTGCTCACCATGTTTGACTGGTGCAACATTTATAGTTATTTCTATTCATGAGCATGTGCCAAAATTAAGCTGCATTTGCTAGGAATCTTTAAAATAGGGACATTCAGGAGAATTGCTAAGCCTGCAAATTGTTATCAGCATGACACTGAGCTTCCTTAGAATTAGCTCTATTTTCTCCTTATTTTGAACTAAGTAACCCCTGAATGATATGATTATAGGGCTGTTTCACCTGTGGAGTTTCTCTTGATTGATTAATCTCCTTAGTGCTCTTTTTCTAACTTTACTGTTTTCACTTTTTCTTGTCTTGCTGAAGTTGTCTTTCATGACACACATCCATATAATGCATATGTCATAGGGTTTTGTGGAATTCAGGGGGATTTGGAATCTCCCTAGGGAGAGACAGGATTCCACTAAACCCGTGAGTTTATCGGAATCCTCTCAAAGTTGTGTCAGTGTCACTACACCCTAGGGAGATTCCATATTTTTCCTGGCTTGAAAATTACCCTTCCCACGGCTTGTCCCGCTGAGGGCAATTCTCCTTTCGTTTGCGTTTACGGGATTATTTAAGGCTGAAGAATGCCGTGTTATAGTCTGTTCCTGACCAAAATTCTCGGATATGGAATCCCCCTCACACTTATTGTATGTACCCATAAAGTGATTAACTGGAATTGACATGTGAGTGCCACCCTTTTGGGAAAGAATGCACAGGTTGCCAGTGGGGGTGCAGGATCCATCTGCAAGTGCAACAAGTCTTGTTGCACCAACAGGTGTAGTGTAAAAATAATAGGCATAACATGCGCATCTATGTGTCATGGGAAAGCTGTGCAACCTCCCAAAATAAGACAAGTATATTGTTAATTGACTCCGCTTCGAATCTTATGGACATTGATTTTTTTCTTTCTATGCATGGACTGAAATTAAGTTCCATTTCCCCCAGGTGTCTTGATAATTTTCTTTCTCCCTAGGGGTAAACAAAATGATGGAAGCATTGGCAGCTAATCTGGGTGATTTTGAATCCCCCTAGGGGAGGTGACATAATGGAGGTTTTCGAGTTTCCTGTCTCTCCCTAGGGAGATTCGGAATCCCCTGAATTCCACAAAAACCTACAACACATATATAACCATAGTGGAAAATGTTTTATTTACTTAGCTGGAAATATGTTGAACATAGGGCAGGTATTATAAGCAAACCCACAGTTTGAAAAATGCTAATCTGAAGCAATGGAATACCTGCCTTTCTTCTTGGTCAATGCTAAGCTGGCTATCTAGTCTATGTTTACTTGCTTCTTCCATGTGTTTCAGCTCCTTACTGCTGAGTGTCACCGTGTTCCAAGTCTCAATATATTAAGTCCGTGTCCTAGGTTGCTTGACCTTTGGTTCTACTCATGGTTTGTTTTTAGGGCATCATGCTAAAATGCACTACAGCTAGTGGCAAGCTGACTGATAGGTTTGGATGCAAGATGACAGTGTCAGTTGCACCCGGAAATATTAAATTGCCCAGTCCTGGTAGCCAACTCATCAAAAGTCTCCCCCAAAGCACAATGTCTATTGCAATCCTGGACAATAACTGATACTGTATGAAATTCTAGAGCTGAACTCATAATTGCATGCATTGGTTCATCTTGGTCACCCTCAACAGAAACCCCTATATCATTATAAGACCTGAAATACCACGACCTTCTGAATCATTGGGGTTTATCCTCATGATATGAGAGCACAAATAATGGAGGGCTAGGTATTAATGAACAATATTTTATGGTAGTTTTAGGTGGTCCAGAATGGCAAGCCAAAGGTGAGTCTAATATCTTAAAAATATGTTTATGTATAGATAAAAATAAAATTTTTTGCAGAAAAAATTTCCATTAATAATATCAATTAAAATAAGAATAAAATGAATGTAATTTATACCAGAAAACATATCAATGTTGCCAAATTATTAGTATTATTTTTAAATATTTTAAATATAAATCAAATAATTGACCTTTGAGGATGATATTGAGACTGTGAACCATGTCAAATTTCAATTGAATGTCAAAATTTGGTGAAAATGAGTGGAGCAATGTCTTGGAATAAAAGCAGATATTTATTATAGCAATGGTACCTCATTGCATCAAACAAGGTAGGCTGGTACCAGAATCTCAGCCATCTTTTGTTCTCTTTTTAAATGTGCAGATAACTGAATCAATTGATTTAACTTGATAACCCAGATCATTAGCTAGATTACACCGCTTAAAAGGAAATAATTTAATACAGCCTATTCTGACCCATTAGTAAGTAAATATTGAAGGCTGCTATGTTCATATTTATAGTGAGGATAATACATGGGAACCTGAAGAAAACTTGGCTTGCCAGGAATTAATAAAAGCCTTCAATGCTGCAAGAGATGACGACAAGAAGTCCACTACTAGTACAGAACACAAGAAGGAAGATGTCAAGAAGAAGTCCAATGCAGCTGTAGAAAGTAGGAAGGCAGATGACAAGAAGAAATCTAATGCAGGTGCAGAAGATAGGAAGAGGAAGAAGATGAGATCCTCCAAAGAGGTACATTTTAATCCACATTCTTCAGTCTGTTATGTACTTGATCTAAATATGCAGTGATGTCTCATTGTCTCCACCTTCCACTTGCCTTAAAGATTCTTGGTGTGGCTATGATGATGAGAGTTTGCAGCAAAATGATAGGAAAAAATTGCCATAAGGGAAAAATGGCATTAAAGTAAGAACTCCAGGAATGGTACTGACTGCTATTTGAGTGCCTCATGCAAATATACATTATCCACAGTTGAAAATATTGTTCATTTTTCTGCAGATGATTTATTTCTTCATCTGTGATTCTTTTTCCTTGAAGTCTTATTTCCAAGGTTTTTAGAGATTATTTTTATGCTGTTTTTTTATTTATGGTTTTTGGCTTTCTGGTTCCATTAGTTTCATTATTAAATGAAGTTATGCAAGCCTGCCTAACACTATTTTACCATGGCATATAAACACTTCTCATAGTTTCATAAACTGGACTATGTACATTTCATTTGCTCAGATCAATTTAATACTTCTTGGGGAATACTTTAACCCTTTGAGGACCAAGTTCTCTGGGACCTTTCAGGAGTATGAACATACCTGCATGTTCATGGTCCTCAAAGGGTTAATAATGCCAGTACAGAAGTTCAATTTGATGCTCCATACAGCCAAGGCAAATCCATAAATGCTATCCTGTCAAAACTAAGTCAGTAGGCTTTGCCATTGGGAGCCTATTGGATTCATTATTGTTAGCACTTAATACTTCTGTTCTATGGCTGACCACACAAAAAGCATAGCACAATTATAGCAAGACTTTATTTATCAAAACAGATCCAGTAGTTTCTGCTTCAGGTCAGTCAACATGTTTTTGAAATTCAAGTATTTTTCTATTTTAATTTCAGTATTACATTTGTATTGGAAACCCAGCAAAGGCATGCAACCTCAGCAAGACAAGTTTAATAGTACCTCAGTTATTGAATATGGGCAGTTTTTGCTTGAGGTTACTGCATTTATTCTGAATATTAAGTCATTTAAAATATTTCCAGTACTATATCAGTGTTTGGAGCTATAAAAAGACACTCCCTGAGAGTGAGATGAGCCCATCAGTTCTGTCATTTTTGCTGTAGGTTCAGTCACCAGGATGACACTCCTTTACTCTCTCTTTCACCCCTAGGAGGATGATGTTCCAAGAGGATTTGACAGAGGATTAGAGCCTGAAAAAATCATTGGTGCCACAGATGCTGGTGGGGAGTTGATGTTCCTCATGCAGTGGTATGTTATTAGCAATTTCTTATCATTCTGCTTTTGCTAGAGCTATCACTGTACTTTTATGCATCAGTGTTTTTTGCAACCCTGGACTGGTTTGTCCTAAAAAGTCAAGAAATTCCAATGATAACATTTTTGAAAGAGCCTTCTCAGTACTAAGAACAAGGTGTTACTCAAATTCCTAAGCAGTAAAATTTTTAATTCCATTTATTCAAAGATTAAGAAGAAAAACTAAGTTTGGACATTTATTTGCCATTTGGATCAACAAAGGTAGACCAAACTTCATGAGCTTTGAGACATGGATAGTCACTATCCACATGAGAAAGCACATCTTTCTTTGATGTGTCCTATTGGGGAGAAAAAAATACTGAATATGCAGAACTTGTTGACTGGCTCTTCACCCATACCTTAATACCAAGAGCATTACCCTCTTAATACCTAGAGCAAAGGTGTTCAATTATTTGTTCACAAGGAACATGATGTTCATGGAGGCCTAATTTTTGTATTTTGCAGAACTTATATATTGAGTTATCTGTACTCAGCTGGGGATATCCATATTCTTCTTATCAACATTAAGAATTTTAAAGTCACACATTGTAATTGATACCTGCTACTACCATGCTCAGCAATTGATACCAGCTTGCCTGTTGCTCACCAGTTCTATTGAGATTCACTTACCATTGTTGAGAACCCCAGATCTAACAGACTGCATCAATTGTTGTGTATGTTATTCCAGTGTTCCTCCAGTGGAAAATGCAAGATTAATCCATCTATAATATGGATAGCCATAGTGCCATGGTGCAGGGAACCATTGATTCATAATGCCTTGCTATTGTGACTTTTCCAGGAAAGGTGCAGAGGAACATGACTTAGTACCAGCAAAGCTTGCCAATGTTAGATGTCCACAACTGGTGATAAAATTCTATGAAGGTAGGCTAATTTGGCATGATTGAGGCACATTGCAGCCTATGAACCTCATCAGCATCTTCATGTGCTGTTGTTATTTCTTGGACTACCTTTATGTATATTGATACTCATGACAGGTATTTGTGCATATCCTGTATTCTTGGATTCATTGTTCATGTTTGAATGCCTCTGAGAAAGTGTGATGGGAAAGACAGTCTTTTTGTGTGTGTACATTTGTGCTTGTGTGGAAGAATCTCTGATGTATAAATAAATTCTCTGGGTTGTCATTGTTGAAGGTTATACTCACACAAGCTTTAAAAAAAAAAAACAAGCTCAGTTGGGGTTGGATGCATTTTTTTTTAGCAATGAGATTCACCACAACTGGAAGATCCTTTTTTCCCCCTAAACATGTGAGTAATGCCACAATGAGGCAGCTACTGATTCTTGAAAATTGGAGGTGCAAGACTATTGCATATGACAACAAAACATGAAGTTTAATTGATGTTACTGTTAAATTCTTCAAAGAGGATGTATAGAATGTGTGTGTTCCAAGTACCCTAAGTGTAATGAAATTTACTTAACCCCAGCAAGCCAGGGATAGGTAACTTATTTTTGAAGTTAACCTTGTATCCCAATTTTTTCAATTTTCTTTTCTATCAATACTGATTGTAATTGCATCAGAAGGATGTGTCATCTCAAAATCTTAACAAGATGGCAGTATTCTCCATATCTCGGATAACATTTTATTCTCTGCTTACAATGAATTGTTCTATCCCTGAATGACTCTAGATCAAGATCACTCTATCTTCAATGTACACCAAAGAGGAAATTCTGCTAGGGAATTATCTTGATGCATGGGGTTGGTAAGGTATTGCAAGATTTGGTTAATCTAGCCTCTGAGTATTTTTTTAAAGAGTGATCTGAAAAATTTATTGATGGTATAAACTTTTCTCTTGTGCCTCCATAATTTTCATTCATTTCATTCCCAGTGTTCATTTATCTTTTCCTCTGACCATTGGGCATTATATGTGTACTACCAATTATAGAGTAAGTCTGAAGTAAATACAGTAGGAATCATGAATGCACTGATGTAAAAAATCATCAATTTTCCTAAAATAGCAATGTAAGTTTGGTATTTTGGTAGTAAGTACCCAGCAAACAATTTGAAACACATATCGTCGAATCAACGTTGAATCAACCTTGAATAAACGTTGGTCCAACGTAGCCTTGTTTGCTGGGTACATGTAGATATACCAAATCTATCATGAGGCAACATAAATTACCAGCAGGCATTTACTTTTATGAGAACTATGGGATAGTGTTATTCATTTCATGGGTCTTTCTCTTCTTTTTTTGGTTTCTTTTCTTGATAAGTGAAGGGGCGGGGACACGTGCTCCCCTAGTTCCCCCTCGACGCTACACCGCTGCTTCAGCCCAGTGGCGAGCAGCTATCGGCGCGAGCTTACTTGGAGATTGCGGCGGAATGACAGCGCTAATCTTGCGCCCACCAGAAATCCGTCTGGCTTCCCTGCGTCTTGTCTTACAGGAAACTGGGCTGGCGGCAGTAATCCGACTCGACGAAGGAGTAGCGAAATGCTAGTAGCAAGTGTGACAAACATGATTTAAGACCTCCATAATAATAATAATAAATTATTATTATTAAAATATAAATATAATTTCTGCTGGTGCAAAGATAAAAGGAACTAAGGAATGCAGAAAGTCCTAATCCCACGCGGATGTGCTACTCCGAGAAGGGTTATCTCACTTCTCGGGCTTCATGGAGCCTCCTCAGGTAACACACTGACGTTGTGACAGCGTTGTATTAAAGCAATAATGTTGTGTGAATGTAGTATGCTGTCACCCTGATGTTCTGACAATGTTGAAATGATGTCTTCGCCACAACATTAGACAAATAACTAAATGTCGCAGAAAGAAATGCTTATAAATTTATAATAAATAATTGTGATGAAGCTGTAACATTTTCGAGGCCTCTGAATTTATTTTAATTACAATATATGGAATGTTGTGGCTTCATTGTAGAAAACATTGTTACAGCATTTGAATATACGATGCTGTTACAACATTTTCCTATAACGTTGTGACAACGAATTCTTTCTGGCGTTAACAACGTTTTGACTGACTGCGAAGTAATACCCTTACCATCTAATAGGTTCATTCAATCGACGCAAGATGGCATCTCAACGCCGCTCTAGCGAATCTCCCTTTCATGTACCGGAAATGAGTTCCCTATATTTTTTATTTCGGTACCTGGTCTTTCCCCACGTAAAACTCGGGGAAGAGTTTTGGAATTCCTGGATAGACCCGTTTCGATGAGTTTCACGGCGAAAGGAGACCCCCAGGTACTTCTTGCATTCGGGTCGAAGGAAACATGGCAAAATATCTTAATTCACTCCATGGCGAATGTCTTCAAAGCTCTGATTTATCTAAAGAAGATAAAGCAGCATGAATATTACTGAGGGACTGACTCTCGATATCGCTGGGGGATAAATGAGTATATCATGAGGTTATTAACCCCTTCAGTGTCGCTTCGAGTAAGTACTCGTCATACGGCTGCGCACTTGCCAGTATAGCACGGCAGGCAGCTGCAAGTATTAATGAAGTGGTGTGTGTTTGTGTCGGTATTATGATATTATTTGCAATCTTTTTTGCAGCAATAATCACTTCTCACTTAATGTTGTCATAATGTTCTTACTCCAGAAGGGAAATGTTTTCAGGACGTTGTGGATACTGTAAAAATATAAAATAAGAGGACATTTAGATGTGACAACGTTGCCTACAGTTTAGTCACAACATTCCATATGTCGTGGTACAGCATATCCACAACGTTGTCACCACATGTGTGCTACCTGGATCAGTTGGAATGGAGAACGCAGCGTGAGAAAAGAACGGTTAGGAGTATTTGGTACTGCTCATTCTATCAATAGTATGAGACGTTGTTGAGGAAGTGACTCGTCCCAGCCTAGATATGATTTTCAAGAAGTCGTGCTCTGACCTCCAACCAGAATAGCCGCACTCAGCAAGGCTGTTTCTTGGCATGTTGGCACCCAAGGCAAGGAGTTCCAATGCCCCCCCCACCAAACCAACAACTGCAACAACTGCTACGCGAAACACCACCGCAACTCGGCGATTAGGGCCTTATCCCCGGAAGCTGACAGAGAGCCGCAACTGATGGAAATCATTTTGTTACTTTTGTAAATAATCAAAGCCAAGTCACGGCATATTTTCTTCCATGCTAACCATATTAATAAAAAAAATACTTTTTATTACTGTTTCTTTGCGCGTCCCCCCCCCCCCTCCCTCTCGCAGGCGCCCTAGGCGATCGCCCGCTTCGTCCACCCCTAGTAATGGCCCTAAATGACATCCATTCATCGATGGATGCATAAGGACAGTCCTAATTTTTCTTATTGCCTTTAAGAATCAGTTGCCTAGCCCTTTCATATTGTTTTATTTTTATTTTTTATTCGTTCTACACGGTTGGACATCGGCACCGGCAGATAGGAAACCTGTCGATGGTGCCATATCGGCGGTTGCCGAAACATCCCTATGGCCCTAGGTTCAAGCGACGTCCGAGTAAATAATTCACTTTGGGTTCACTTTAAGTAAAGAGGTAAAATTCCCCCAGGGCAAGCTTATAAAATTAAAAAACTTAAACCTTGATACTAAAGGGAAAGACAGGAATATAGAGAGGGGGACTAACCGATGTTCGTTTTGAAATCAAAGGAGTGAAAGAGCAGTCGAACGAAACAGAAGATAAAAAAAAATTCTGTGTTCCCTCCCTCTCCTTTTCCCACTTCCTGTCTCCGATTTCATGTATTTTTTTTTATCCTTCCTTCTTTCATATAGTCAGTCCCAGCATTTCCAGAAATTGATCGTGATAAGAAACTTCTCGCCCATGCGGGTCACGCCGCCTATTCCTTTCCCCGCCCGGACTGTACAGGCACTCCTCGACTTACGACGCGAGACACGCGCAATCTCGACGCATGCACGGTTTTCGCAACGCATTACATACTGTACTGTATCTGCAACACAGTGCATCGGGAGTCGCCCTGACTCATTCAGTCTTTGTTACGACGCCATTTTGACTGTGATAAACTGTTGTTTTGCTTGCATTTAACTGTGTTTCGACTTACGACGCGACTTTCAGGAACCAATTGTGTCGTAAGTGCGAGGACTGCCTGTATTGTACTGTACTCGTCTCAATCCAATGGGGCATTTCCCATCGGACATTTTGCGCATACATCGCGATGGTTGAAAAAGCTATCAATTCTTCCAATCATCGATAGTGGTATCGATGCATCGACCTATCGTGACAGTCCTTGATACCCAATGCCCAGTTGCAGCGTGGCATCATGCCGCATATACTAGGGAAAGGTTGGGGGGGGGGGCTTCTTCCCGATTATGAAACTGCTATCAGACTCACCGGTATGCTGGTAGGAGGCTACACGGCATAACATGAAGTTTCCCCCCCCAGTTGTAAGGATGTCTTGCACAAGCTGCATTTTGTATGGGAAACAATTCAATTTTTTTTTAAATCCGCCCTGAAGATGTTTCACCCATTCCAAGTTCTAAAGAACGTCTCTTGGTCGGAAGCACAGGGACACTCACAACCGGTCAGTATATTTAAAAAAGAGAGGGGAAGTGAAGAAGAAAACAGTTTCGTGGTTTTTTTTTCCGTCTATATCGTCTCTTGGTCGATTTCTGCGGACTTCTCATAACACTTTCACGCACTCGCTCTGTCTCCAAGAGTTCTGCTGGACCGAGGCCTACCCGACCGTGGTGCATTTGTTACTTGTATCGTGCACTCGAAATCTTGACACATGTCTACGGATGACACGCTCAGATGGAGCAATATTAACACCAAGTAGCCTACGGTATGCTCTGATCTGCAATGATGGAGCAACCATTCTTGAAATAGAGCTCAACAATAACTGAACGCTGTTGTTCTGTCCATCTGTTCACGATGAGAACTTCAATTATCACTCTGAATTCTGAAACAAGCAGAAATGGGTACTCATTAATACTTCCAAAAATATAAGCATACCAGCGAGTTTGTTTGCTCTTTTGGCAAACAAACTCCTTATGGTCGCGCCTTCGGCGCTCCATTGTGTAGGATAGTGATTCATTCCTTGATTAATTTTCAGAGTGGCAAAAATGCATTAAAAGTATGTGCCTGTCGAAATGTGTGCCGTGAAAGGACGAACCGATATTTTCATTGAAATAATTACTCCGATTATTTCTTGTGTGCCTAACGTCAAATCTCTTTATGATCTGCTCTGA